AGTAGGCTGAATAATATCTCATAAATGTTTAGTGTTTTACAGTTCCATACCCCATGTTACCCATCAGTATTGGGTAATTTTAGCATAATTGACACGGAGGTTCTGAAGAACTATGGCAACTGAAAAGTAATAAATAGCAAGGGCCATATACTGTAGCTGTGTCCCAGCCGCCGCACTTAAGCAAATGAGTGCTGTTATTCATAGACACCTAACGGAGAGATTTCAGCTCTCACTGAGGATGGGAGCTTTACCGAGAGACTGGACAATTGTCAATGTAACACCAATTTAGAAAAAGGAGGAAAAACTGAAAAGGGAACCAAGGACCTATAGACCAGTTTTACTTATGTTACTAATTAAGTTATGGACGTTACAGCCAACCCAAAAGAATATTTACAAAAACGGCATTTTAAGATGCAGCCAACGTGGACATAGGAAGGAAAGGTCTGGTTTTGCTAGTACTGTACATTAGAATTCTTCAAAGCAGCAACAAGGATATTTGATTAAAAAAATTAAAGCATATGACATGATTTATTAAGATTTCCAGAAAGCTTTTGATAAGGTTCCTTGCGATAAAAGGTCCCTTGAAAAAGGTTAGTATTTAAATGAAAAGCCGTAGCAATCCAAGGTAATACATTCACATCGATTGAGAAGTGGTTATCAAAGAAGAATCAGTGAGTCATCTCAAGTCACACAGCCTCTAACGGAGCCAATATAAGCAGTGGTGTGTCACACAAATCCATCTTAGAAGAGACTTCACTATCCTGTTCTTGTTCTGTATTCATTTTGGAATCTGGTATACAGCAAGCTAATTAAAATTATGGAGGATATAAAATAGGGGCTGTGGCAATCATAAAAAAGAAGCAGGACACTTGTAAAAAGACAGAAAACATATAATATAATTGGTACAAACTGTATTACACAGGAAGTAAAATCCCAAATTAGTTTTAGTGAAAAAATTCAAATAGTTGCAGAGTAGAAAATGCATAAACTGCACAAAATTTAGATTATTTTAATGGTTAAATGTGCCAATAAAGTCTTGACATTTAAACGTCCAATGAAAGGTATTTACATGTAGTTCAGAAGATGCTTTACATTGAAAATGCAACAACTGAGATAGTGAGCAACTATAAAGGCTCTCCAATCAGCAAAATCTGAATGTCAGAGGTGCAACATACTGTAAACACCAGCAAGCATAAGAATGCACAGGGGGTCCCAAGCCAAGGTCTGACTGCAACAGAGAATAGAGAAAGCGGAGGAGGCAGGCAGGAGACTCACCTTTAATCCATCATATTTCTTTCCCTACAATGCACATGGCTAGAAACCTTCTTCTTTAATAGCCCTTTAAAATGCATTTCAAACATGTTCTCATACACTAAAGGGTTAGGAAGGCTTAATCACCCCTCGGTATAAAAAGAAACACTTCTCTCGCTTGACAACCTGTCCTTATCCTCCACACACGCAATCTGGAATATACAGTATCTGTGTATTTGAATAATCCCTCCAATTGAGAGAACTGCTGCTTGTCCTTCAGCAAATTGTCTGTGCTTTCTTGCTAAGTAATCTGCAGCATTTCATGCTACAGCTTGGATCTGTCACTGCCAGATGTAGCACTTGGAAAAGGTGAAACACTCCTCTGTCAGTTACAGTTCTCCAGACAGAAGTGAAGGTGACCTTTTTCACCCTCATTGCCACATCTTGCTAACTCAATCGCTGACCGCTGCAGCTCACAAAACCTTGTTCCTGAAAGGTGCCATGCGGAATGCATGCCACTGAAAATCCTGCTTTTTTGGGGGAGCATTTCTTAACCGGCAGGTCTAAGGGTTTACAACCAATTTCAAGTCCTAAATGGTCGTTTATTTATCATTTGAAGGGCTAAAAGTCAGAGGACAGATGAGAGTTCTCCCATTCACTTTCTGAACCATACTTATTGTTTTCTTTGTAACATGATCTCACAATCCCGACATCTGATTCTTTACCTTACCCATACAATAATAGCTTCAAATTAAATTTGGCTTATGGATAAACTCCAATCTTGAAGAATCCACTTGAACTTTCCTGACTCATGGCAATAACATCTTAAATTGCATAGCTGTCCTTGAAACACAGCAGCACAGATACAGTATATACATAGCTTTTGCTATTAATAAACTCTGCTGTCATCATTTGGTTCTTTTGATTTTTGCAATGTCCATGATATTTCCAAAAGGGACATAATTTAGCATCTTATTTTACATTTTAATCTTTTAGAAATAAAATGTTTCTACTTCTTGTTAGAACTTTGTAAGTAGAGATGAAAGCACATAAATAAGACTATGCTAACACTCCAGTTCTTATAAGCAGTATTTTGTAAATAAAATAAAAATAGGTACTATGTAATTTGCATTTTAATTGGGACAGCAATCTTTCTTGCTAAGAAATTGAAAAGGCAATTTACCATGCAGTACATTTATCAGCTCAAATATCCTAACTTAAGGAAATGGAAGCTTTAGATCAACATTATCACGCCATTCCACAGAGGAAACTTTTTAATGAAGAGAACACCAATACATTCCTGCAGCAAACTGTTCCAAAAAGTTAATGAGAATGTAAATCTTTTTGCATTTTGTTTTCTGACAATGGAAAGTGTCAAACCAAAATTTAGGACTAGCAAAATCCATCTCCTTCAAAAAGAAAAAAAATAAAACACAAGAAAACTGTCAACAAAGGACAAACTGGGGATAAACATGCTTGACTGGTTCAGCAAAAAAAAATATCTAATACCGGCACATCAATTTAAACAAAATATTTTAATCCATGTTAATATATTTTGCAATTTGAAAAAATATAAACTAGTTTCAAAGCAATTTTAGGTGATTTGCTGTGAATATATTGAGCTAGCCCCAGATACTTCCTAAATACTTCTAATCTAACTATTTGTCCTTAAGTAAACCTGCCATCTGATTAATTTACTTACACCCACACATAAGTGTAGATATAATTACACACATACTCATGCATTCAATGAACACTGAGGTACCAACCAGAGGACACAAGTGGACACTCCACTCAAGAATAGGAGCCCCTTTATGGCAGGGGCTGAAGGAGTTTGGAACAAGCTAACCAGTCATGTTATTGAAGCTTCCTTTAAAAAATGTTCATGGAGATCCAGGGAATAGTTACTGTATAGTAGCTACCAAAATTCAATTGAGCTCAATGAGCCAGATGGCCAAATGGTTTGCTCTTATGAAAAACATGATTCTTTGATTAGAAATAGAGGCAATTCGCAAAGATAATGACCACCTAAAATATCAGACAGTTTATTTTGCTATTACCAACGTTCACACCATGAAAGACCATTTGCCAGCATTTTAATCCCACACACCTTAATGTTTTTTACTTATCTGAGAAGTCAGACAAGGAGAAGGAGCGCAATTTGTCAAGCTGAAAAGGGGGTTCGAATTTATCATTTTAAAAGCTGGTGTCTGACAACCCAACACAACAGCTGTTGCTCCTGGCGGAGTTATACAGTGTGAATAAAAGTGTTCATCTTGAAAGAATGTTCAACAGAATGGAAACTCAATGGAGACTGAGCAAAGAAAGTTGATCAGGGACCTGTACTGACCCTTAGGGACTGCTTTGGTCACCTCTGTGATCTGAATCCACAAGTTCTTTCCCACTGGGGACACTAGAAAGGTCATGTTTTCCATGCTGATGCTTCCTCGAAGATATAGAAGTGGTATTGGAAGAACAAGATCGTTCACCTTCCTGCAAAAAGCATTGGTTAATTGCAGTATGTGTCTGAATGTAAAAGGCAGACCTTTTGAGCGATTTAAAAAGTAAGGATATGAATTTTCAATGCGTATGCACTGACATGGTGTATCTTCCTCAAATTATTAAAATATTGTTACTATCTGTGACAATCAGGCGGAAGACAATCCTGTATGTGAGAACATACTTCGGTACATCATACTATATTTGAAACACCCTATGAGATCAGCGGTGCTGCAGTGTTTCAGAGATCATTCTTCAAGGTAACCTTTCTTTCCTTGCTTTTTTTTCAAAGAATCTATGCGCTGTAGCTGAAAATACATTAGGGAGCAGATTCTGACTGTCAATGTGAATCTATTTGGCTTTCTTCTGTAATGTAGTTAAGTGAAGGTCTAACAGTCTTTTCACTGCAAGAATTAAAATTGGGCATTGCTCCAAAACATGATAGTATAAAAGCACAAAAAGCAATTTCATGTCTCTTCTGTACACCCCTTGTTTTTCAGAGGAGGGATAACTGTGTGTGTTTTTTAAGGGTCTTTATCAAGCAGCACTTTTCCTTCCAATTTTCAAAGCTGATATTGAGCAGGAAAAATACCTCCTCTGTGTTGCTATGGAAACCCTGACTGCTGTCCCTTTCCACCTCAATCTTCCACAAATACAACACCCTCGACAAGAATTGCATTTACATCTCTAAAGAGCATCACCTTGTCTTTGCATTTGCCCTGCTGCTAAATGAGCCGAGCGCCCAAGAATTACATTACTGACACTATTAATCTTCAAATGTACATGTTACAGTAGATCACTTTACAGTGCTACACATCACTTCACACCGTTCAATCCAAACAAGGCCAGAGCAGTTTCTTCAAGCAGATAAGCCACCAGCTCTAACATTCAAAATTTTAACGAAAGGCTGGCTGACTTTCGTTTTGTTATGTATGCATTTTAAATGAAATTAATTTATTAACCCATGAGAAAATCACAGTTCCATTTACTAATTGAAGCTTTGTCTGAGTGGTCTAAAAGGACAGGAAGCCCCATCTCCCCCCATCCAAGAAGGCAACGGCAGGACGGGAAATGAGAGCAGCGCGCGTGAGATGCTGTCTTGGTTTAATTTGATTCCGTGTACCAGGGCCTGTGCAAGCCTCAAAACCACGTGAGGCCAACACCAGGGGCTAGCGGAGCATTGCACTTCCGAACCCGAGCAGGGAAAAGGAAGAGAGGGCTGTGCCTCCTTTTCCGAACAGCTGGTGTACCTGTTGTCGTGAGGTGCTGTGAAGCCCGGACCGTGGCGGTATGTCACATTGAGCTGCCCTCTCCACGTGCTGGGCACATCCGGGCCAGCCAGTAGCCTGGAAAGCAGGAACATTTGTTCATTCACTCATTCGACATTGGAATGACAACAAATATTGGTAATTGAACCACTAAAGCAATACCTGAGGTATCTGATGGCATCATCGTAGCCGATTGGCGTCACGGGGATAGCTGACAAGACAGATATCTCCTTCTGATCCAGATAGTAGGCAGAATCTGGGAATATAGTAAAATAACAACGACAGTACTGATTTTAAAAATGAATTGTCCCTTCAATACTGAACATTTGCAAGTATGGACAGTTAAAAACAAACAGCAAAAAAAAAAGGAGGTTTTTCAAATATACACTGCATACAATACATGCACCATTGTGCCCCCACAGCTGGTGCTGTCAGCTGGCTTGGGAACTGCTGTCTCACCCCTCAGCTCACAGCTCTAGCCCTGTTCAGTAACCTGCAGGATGGCTGCTCCAGCTCTGGTATGGGCTGTCTCAGCCCTCCATCCCGCATACAAGCTCTGCTGGCTGTGCTCTGAGGTTCTGACATACAGAAGCAGGTGGCCTGACAACACACACCTCTCTGCTCTGGGACTTGTGGCTGAGTACCAGCATGGTGGTCGTTAACATTAACAATGGGAAAAAAAATAATTGCCCATTCTGAATGTATTTTAAAAATGCTTTTAAGGTAAAAAAAAATAAAGCATGTCAAATGAGAAATCCATTATTGTTTTGAAGGCTAAATTGACAAAACAAACATCACGAGCAATTATTAAGATCTTCAGCTTCCAGGAAATTTCAGTGGAGCTCACCATTAAAACAATGTGCTCCTCTGTATTTAGAGCACTTACTGTACATAATTTTAAAAAGAGAGAGAAAACATCCTGTTAGTGCCTGATTAGATAAAGGGAGCAAACTACAAACAAGGGCCTAAATTCTTTCTGCGGGTTACTGTACGTGCTTTTTTATAATCAAATGAGAGAAAAAGCCACATAGACAATAACACAAACACATCTCTTGCATTATTATTATTATTATTATTATTATTATTATTATTATTATAATTGGGGATGGAATAATTCAAAGATGAGCTATTACATGCACACTTTAATAATGTAAGAAGCCCCCCAGACAAATGATTTTGCACTTTGCAGGTTTTATGAGAGTATAACAGGAGATGTATTTAAGACAACACCTAAGAAGGAAGCTTTCAACACAAATTGTTATGGCAGGGACTGAAACAATCCACCAGGCCAAGCTGCTGAAGCTGACTATGGGCTCTTTCATTCAGCAGAAACAGTCCCCTGAGATCCCTCATGAAGCACCTGGATGACATTTTAAGATCAACCCCTTGTGGATGAGATTTTAGGAACTTGTGCTTCAATTAACATGTTCTCACTTAATCACCCTCATTTCAAGAGAGGATGTCTCCAGACCTACTAGCAATGCAAATAAGACACAGTGATTATTACAGTATCTACAGTAATACAGTATCTGTCAGTAAACAGGTTATCAAACAGGTTACTTTAATGTACAGTCCTTATTTTACCTTACAGACAGGATTATTTGCAGGATGCAGATCCATCATATACATATAAAAAGAACTAAAACAATGGTGATGTGGGGGAAGAACATGAAGCAGCATCTATTCTTGCTGACAACAAATGCTATTCAAACAGAGTGCCTATGGGGTCTTTTCCTCTGTCTTCAAATCATATCCATTAGACATCAATGAACATTCTAGTCCTGTGTTTTGATAATTATTGCGTTGCAGTGGCTATTGTTGATGAGAAATTACAAATGTGTTGTATCCTCTCTCCAGAATAACAGAGTGAAGCAGCCTTGAACCTTTTCAATTAGTGCTGATAGGATGGGACAAACAATTCAGATGTAAAAACCACTGATTTTTTTTTTACAAATATGCCTCCATGAAATGGGCATAAAATGCTTTCAAAGTACTTAATATTAATTGTCAATGTTTGACATAAATCCATTTGTGTATAATAAAACTAATCAGTTCATGAGTTTGTATTACTCTATTAAATTTAGTCATATAATATGTTTGGAAAATGCATTGTAAGCCATGCAAATTTGGAGGTATTAGCTATGAAATCTTATATTTTCAATAGGTGCTATTACCCCCTGTAGATGGTATACATTCTGAAAAAATTAGAACTTGGGCGAAGTAGTGGTACTGTGGCTAAGGATCTGTGCCTGTGGCTGATAGGCTGACGGTTCAAATCCTGTAGCCAGCAGAGGAATCCTACTCCGTTGGGCCCCTGCGCAAGGCCCTTAACCCCTACTGCTCCAGGGGTGCTGCGTAAATGGCTGACCCTGCGCTCTGACCCCAAGCTTCTCTCCCTGTCTGTGTGTCTCATGGAGAGCAAGTTGGGATATGTGAAAAGACAAATTCCTCATACAAGAAATTGTGTATGGCCAATAAAGCGATCTTATCTTAAATTGACCACACATTAGTTACAAGAATGATCAAGGGGATCTTTGTATGCAATGTGATGGAGTATTACAGTCATGAAACTACATCCAACTTCATTGCACTTATCAGAGTTCCAGTACAACTTTTGGATATTGTAACACAAGTGCAACAAAAATACTAAGAACACCAACTCTTTCATTCATAAAGTTCCAGTGCTGTCTGTGTCTCCAAAACTTTTCAACTCAGATGAAAGCTGTGCAAAGTGTAACTTGTGGTGACATTTGTCTGTTTTCAGCACAAATCATTATTTCTGCTCCATACTGCTCCCACAATACTCAGACCTATGCCTTTTAGCTGCACTTGCAGAGCGCTGAATGATGATTAGAGAAAAGTCCCATCTCCTTCAAGGTGCAGACCCTGACAAAAAGAAAACAAGTTCCTCTAACAAGGTATCAGGAAGCCGCCACATCCAGCATTAAGCAGTGTGAACTGCATGACAGGTCACAAATTCACGCTGGGCTGTTTTGCATGAATTAGCAAATCCTGCAATCACACAGCATGCATTAAAGATCTCTGAAGAAGTAAACTAACAAATTACTTACCAAGAGAACTCCTTTATTATAAGGGGGAAATATGTACTTAATCTAACCAGAACATTGAGGTCTTGTTGTTTGACACTGTACCCTGGCTACTTTTAAGAAACAGCTGGATGAGAATCTTGGACCAATTAGCCGGTTAAATCGCAAATGAGCTACATGGGTCAAAATAGCTCCTCTCATTTGTAACGTTTCTTATGTTCTTAGAAAAAGATATCTACAGGATCTTGTTTTTCCCATTTAAATGTAAGATAAAGTGCATTGTAGTTTATCAGGTCATCTGTATTGCATGCTTGCATATATTTTTAATACTTTTCATTTTTTTCCCCACAGTCAGAGTGGGATTGATTAGAATTGACATATTTATGCACTCTGTTATTTGGGTCAGATCATCTGCACCGTGACAGAAAGATGGAAAGAAAAAAAACAGTAGTACATATTTATGTTCTGAATCCCACCGTGACATCAAGTAGCACGAATGTTTGTACATTTTTATTTGCTTATCAAACACAAGGAAATGGACCCATGAAATTAAATCAGTGCTCCACACTGGGATTTACCTCCGATGACCTTCGCTGGTGAGGACAGATTGCCCTTTCAGAGGGTGTAGTGGCAGAAGGACCCAACTGTCATGACTCTAACCCCTCCCCCTTAAGGCCGCTCCGGCTCCTTCACATTTGACCTGATCCCCTGCACCTGCCTCCTGTTCCAGTCTCCTCTTTAAAAGCCAGACGCCCCCACTATTCCGGCCTGAGTATTGGAAGACAGACGCCACAAGGCCTGCCTGTTTTCCGGGTTGTCCGAAGGCAGGCCTTTCCCCCAGCGTCCTGACCATCTGCGTCCGGGGCTGGGATCGCCTGGCCCCGTTACCGTTTTTTATTCCCCCGACCCTTCGCCGGATCCCATTCCGGCTTTTAACTTCGTTTGTCTTTGTCATGGATGGACTACCCGGCTCTGGACCTTTGCCTCCCTACGGATCTCCCTACGAACACCCCTTCTGACTGTTCGCCTGGACCACACCCTCCTCGGGCACCTTCGCCACGCCCCCCTGTTCGTCTACAGCCCCGTTCCTCGTCTCCTCCCCGTGTCTGTTCACTCCCTTCCGGATTGGGCTGTCTGCATAGGGTCCTGAAAGACGCTACGCGACACCAACACCACTAGAGTCTGCCTCAAGGCCTTTGTTAATACCGCACCTCTGTAAATAATTCACTGGCTGCAGATAATCGTGTGATTGCAAACTGGTTAATTGCACTGAAGTGTTATTTTCACTTGCTTCTGTTTATGAGGGTGTCTGTTATGAATTGTTGGGTTGATAAACCAAGGAGCAAGCACTTGATAAGTCTGCTCTGAACGTCTTTAGTGTTTGTTGTATCATATTTAGACAGGGTACACCTGTTTAGATAAAGCTACGATGTAGCTAGGGGTTTTGTTACAGTGGGGATCAGTCACTGAGGCCTAAGAAAAAGAACAATCATGTATGTAGTGTACATTCTTTTTCTGGCAAAAGCATGACCACTTTATAGACTGATCTTGCCAGACCTCAGAAGCCAAACAGGTCTAGACCTGGTCTGTAGTGGAATGGAACACCTACTTGAGTGGCACAGGTGGACCACTAGATGACACCCTTCCCTCTGGACCAAACCAATGACAGGCAGAGAGACAGGCAGAGTGAGACATTATTCTGAATCATTACTGATTACTCTTCAAAGACCCTATTCCACTGTTTGTAAGAGTATGGAGTTAACTCTGGTGTCCTAAATACTTGAACATTCTGCCTTCCCTATAGGATTAGTGGTGGCTATTTGGCCCATTTAGATCATCTTTCAACAACCTAGCTGGTAAGCTCATGGCAGACTCCCAAAACCAGTTGTTTAAAGATGTACCTCCTATTCCTGTTTTCAAATCCACTTCTACATAGTTTCCACATGCCTCTGGTTCGTATTTCTCAGGTGATTCTGGAGTATTTTACTGTTAACATAAGTACAGGAGAGAAAGCAAAGTGCAGGTAAAGGTTCAGTTTTAAACAATAGGATGTGAAGCAATACCTTCAGCGCTACCATGGAACCTTTGTCACTGCATACAGATATTCTACACTATTTTTTATGGATACATTTTTTACACAAACTGGAGACTGCACCACCAAGTGCTTGAACTTTCAAGATAATTCCTGGAAACTGCACTGCTCTAGCCTTTGAAATGCTGCATTTTCTAAGTATTTCATGTCACTTACAGGCATCCTCATAACAAGCCTTTAAACTATACCTTTAGTGCTGCTTCTGCTGAGAAAGTCTGAGCTTTTTCAGCAAGTGCATAGCAACAGCAGTTTCAGCCACTGATAGCAGTATGTGCTTCTGCACTAGGAAACTTAAAAACCTGAAAGATTTATTTTATAACCAAAGGGCGTAGGGGTGGCTCTGTGGCTAAGGATCTCTGCTTGTGGCTGGAAGGTTGCTGGTTCAATTCCTGCAGCCGACAGAGAAATCCTACTCCATTGGGCTCCTGATCAAAACCCTTAACCCCAACTGCTCCAGGGGGCACAGTATAAACTTCTCTCTCCCTGTCTGTGTGTCTCATGGAGGCTGGGGTATGTGAAAAGACCCATTCCTAATGCACGAAATTGTATATGGCTGATAAAGTGATCTTATCTTACCTATTGATGGATAGAAAGGAGTCAGTGGGTCTCCATCTACTGGAAGAACTGAGCCGCGCTGCACCCCACTGCCAGGAAGCCACCAGTCATCAGGGTAGACTCTCCAATGCCCACCTACTGCGTAGTCAGCAGGGTCAGAATAGAGAATCACTCCAGCACATCCAAACTGAGCAGCATGCTTCACCTACAAAAAAAGTTAAAAAGGCCTCAATCTGCAAAGCCTTTGACTCTGAGCTTGTCTTTGTACACTGCAAAATGTATCATCAAAGTTGGATGAGTTTACACAATTGTGGATTTATATGTTTCACTGCTACAAAAACTACTATGAACTATGTTTGTGTTTTTGCAAGTTTGTCAAAATAGAGCGAGAAAGTTTGTGAAGAAGCTGATTTCATGACGTTGTGGGCACCAAATGGTGGATACGTACTGTAAACTGCTGGAGACACAAGTCCAAATAAAAATCAACATACCTTCACTGCCAACATGCCAACACTTCCCAAAGTGTTTCATTTGCCTCCAGGTATATACAGTAGGTAGTTACTTCAGTAACTACCTGGCACTATTGTTTTTATAGGCATTAGATTTATCATGGAGGAGCTATTTGAGATCTCATTTAAAATCTGCCAGTCTGTCACAAAGTCTCTTATTGACTTGTTTGTTTGAATGTTTTGTCTCTTTTTTAGACTCCGTTTAGAGGTCAGGCTCTCCTATGAAGGATTGGTTTGTTTATTAAAATAATCGTACCTAATATTTTACAGGTTAACACCCACTTCTGAGCAGATTTGGGCTGTCAGCATTAGGGATTTTATGTGAGACAAAAAATATGTACTCAGAACTCACTCCCATTGTAATTGGAAGTCACTGAATAATATTTTGTGTGTCTTACATCTTGTGTAAGTGATATTTTGAAGAATTCATATTTGTCTTTTACGTCATTGTCTTTTCATTTCTCCACCAACAAATTCCTCATGGAAAATTAAAGCAGACACATAACTGTGCTCAATATTCCCTGACTAGTGGGAGTTTTATTATTTAACTTTTTAGAATTGCTCAAACTGACGCTGGACTGTTTTGATTATTTTAAACATTTAACTATTACCTAACTACCTCTTTTTTGATTGCACTCCTACCCTAGTTTTTGTAACACCACCATTTGAGCAGGCTGTGAATAAAATACTGGCATTGTTAGACATTAACCCTTTCATTATTTTATTGAGGTAGAGTTAATTTGGTCTAACGCCTCACCCACAGTGCATGATAGTATCACAGAGTATTAAGAAGTATCATATTAGGACCCTGTTTATGTAATTAAATGCAGCTGTATGTAAAAACTCAACAAGAATTACAATCTGTTTAAATCAGGTTTACGCAAACAGTATACCTTGTCACCTCTGAATATTTTTCCATAGCGAGCAAGAGCAATTGTTCCATTAAGATCCATAGAAAGGTTTCTGGACATGTACAGAAAGTCTTCTATGGTACCATAGTTGACATACACAAGATCCCCCTAGGACATCAAAAACACAGGGAAAACCAGCAAAATTACAAATTCAATAAGTATTCAAATTTTAATCAGCATGTTCAAACAGTGCTCTTGCACTGTGCAACAAAAATACTATTATTACCAACTCCACTGTATCACATCTATCATTTTTTTGTTCAATTCTAAACAAGGAAAATCAAACATATTTAAATAAAAGCACTAGTCTTTTTGGGAGGAAAAAAAAGGGATAGTTTTCAGTGATTTTCACTTAACTTCCCAATTACTTTTCACTGCTTTGATTTCATATGATTCACGCTGCTATATGAAAATGCTCACATCATCACTAACATTTATAGATTGCAGCTGGGCTTCACATTGTGCGTAATTACACCATCTACTTAATCAATTCATGTTAATAGCTTAAGGCACTTTTATGCCATTATGACAAATTTAATTTTTAATTAGATTCCAGGAAATATTGACATTCTTTAAGTTCAGTTCTAGTTATTTATAAAAGTTTATAAAAAGATATTAAGTGACATGATGGAAATGAGGTTTGTACTGCTGCCTCAGATCTCTGGTGTCCTGGGTATGAGTCCAGACTGGGGCACTTTCTGTGTGCAGTTTGTAGCTTCTGCTGTTTCCCCTTGTGTACTTGGGAGTGATCCACTTTCCTCCCACCTCCCAGTGACATGCTGGCTGGCCAGGTGAACTGACATCTCTCATTCTCACTGTGTGTGTCCTGTGAGGAGCGTGGTCCCACTCTGTGACCTGTGCTTCCTGGAAAGGCTCTGTGTTGCTGGGATTCTTACCGGGAATTTGTGCCTTTCTTGAAAAAGAAAGGTCAAAAATGCCAGGGCTCATTTAAGTTGCAAAATACTTTGAAATTACTAGCCTGCTAGCTCATCCTTTACCCCAGTGCGGGTAGGCATAGAAAGAAGAGAGCACGAATTGTCCAGTCTGTTGTCACTTACTTACACAGGAGGTACAATACAGAACAATGCAGACTTACAGTGACAATGCCAGGTCTCGAATAAGCATTGAATGGATTAACAACCGTAGAGTCATCCTGGTCTTGGCCTAGGACCTTCTCCACCTTGGCAGACACCTCCACTTCTGTGCCATTTTCCAGCTGCACAGCCACATAATTGGGATCGGTGGCATTCGGATACGACAGCAACACTTTGTACGAGAAAATCCGAGCGCTGTCCAGGTGCTTCTTGAACTCATTAAAAACGTAGGTGACCAGCTCTTCTTCTTCTCTGGGACTGCCGGCTATGTGTGGCTTCTGTGCGAAGAATCTGCTCCCCGCCCACAGGCACACAAATCACAAGATGCCAAAAAAGAAGAGAAGAAAGATCAAGCAGGCAGTCAGAAACGATTTCATAAACCCGCACTCGAGTGTCCACAGGTACATCAGTGTCTACAGTAAAAGTTTAGGGAGACATAAGCCAGCAGTTAGCCCTGTCTGAGGATGGTACTGTAGTACTGTGGTTCAGGCCGATGGCAAGACTCACTGACTCTGACCAGTGGACGGGTCTGCGCGGTTCTGACGACACCCTCGACACGTAATAAAATCTCCCTCCATGGGAAGTTCACTCGGGAAAACAACATCCAGGAAGGGAATGCTTTGTGAATGCTTGTGTAACGCAACGGGGGCTCAGGCGGGCGCCCTTGCTGCATTAGGTCAGCCCCCCACCGTTGGGGGCTCGAACCCAGGACTCCCGCGTCACTCAGCAGGGACCCAGCCCGGTGAGCCAAAGAGAGACCTTTCTACAGCCCAGGGGCTGTGGTCCTGCTATCACAGGGAAGGGCGGTGACGTCACCTGCTCTGGTACGCCGGCTCTTACACACAGTGCCGTAAGTGTCGGCCGTCAGCGTTACACTTGGAATACTGGGCAACAACAGTTTGGCGTATCCCGCTTGGTCACTGGGCAGCCTCCTGGAGAGGGAAGCTGGAACTGCCTCCAGACGGAGCGAACGGGGGCAGCTGTAAGGCAGAGACGAGGCAGAAGAGGGATTCCGACCGCCGCGGTCCGTCCCACAACACCTGGGGCGCGAACCGGGTTCTCTGGCCTAACGCAACAGGGAACCAGCCGAGTGAGCTAAAGGAGACCCCCCCCAGCCCAGGCGGCGATGACATCACCGTGCCCGAACGAGCTCCGCTACAGGATGCTTGAGACGAAAGACAAAGGGAGGCGTTGGCGTTCAGTACACTGTATGTAGCTAGTATTGTAACTGTGGTGGCTAGAGACAGCTGTGTGAGGCTGACTTGTGGTTCAGTTAATAACTTCCTTTTACCGCTCTCCTGGCTACAATCACAGCTTCAGGTAAGTCAAAGGCCTGCCTCGTGCCCCATTGCTTTCTGGGATAGGCTCCGACTCCCCTGCGACCCAGAACTGAATGAAGACGTTAGAAAACGGATGGGTGGATGACTGAAAGGCAACAATCAATTTATCTCAAGGAACAAAATTTCAGAGGGCAATGTTGTACCCCGAGAGGAGACGCCGTGCTCTGGGAATGGAAATGTCTTACTTTCTTCACCAGGAGGTGGATTGACACTCTCTACAGTTATACAGGCCATCAAAACAAGCAGAGGAGGATCCCTTATGAAAGTTTGCTCTAGTTAGGTCTGCACGATATTTTTAGAGTTTTCTCAGTGATTTACGATGCATATTAGTTTACTTTGCTGTAATCTGAGACTTCAGCACCCAGACAGTATCGCTCCTTAGCCCTGGTTACGTCATGTTTTCTCCTACTTTAAAATAAATAAATGTATTAAATGGGTAAGAAACAGAAGGACACCTAGGAGTACTTTCACATGACTCTCGAGATGAGGAATTCTTGGAATTCTGCGTTCCTGCGATTTCACATATACAGGACCCGAGAATGTCTTATCTACCTTGTTTTGCATCACAAATATCAATATTCAATATTAAATTACCAGACACAGTGTTGGGCTCAGTATAAGTCACACACCCCATAAGAAGTTGTACCATGGCACATTTATGGTACCAGTACTATGGTACGGTACCCTGGTATTTTTGACAGTACCATAGTACATGTACCATGGTAGAAGTACCTTGGTACTTACAGTATACTGTATACCATGGTAAAATTTCTTATGGAACTAGAAATGAACACAAAAAGACTACGTCAGTCTTTTCTCATGATTATGCAAACTTTCTCGTGTTGGGGGAAAAAAAAACATTTTTCTTGTCGCATAATAAGCTTTTTGATACACGAGTATGTGATTCATTCGAAGCACCATGGACGCATTTCAACTGAAATGTCAATCCGAGAATTGATTTTATTTAAGATGCGTCTGTTCTTAAAATACTAGAACAATAAACAAACCAAATAACCTTTTTTTAATAGAACTGAACAAATACTTTACGTCATTTGAAAAAGGGCTTAAACTGAGTCGCACCGGGAAATAAGTGTCGTGTCGTCGCCCTCCTATAATTAGAAGAAAACATTTTCTGAGCAGACAAGAAATCACGGGGGACTCGGGAGTCACAAGCGCAGTGGTATGCTACTGTACATGAAGAGAACTGCTTGAAAATACCGAGTTGATTTTTTTTTTTTGCTCAACTGCTTTAGTATTTTACTGCTTTATCATTTCACTGGGGTGTGCCTTGATTCAAGTGCACGCGAACCCATTTTTAACAAGTAAAACCGAATACACTGTCGAAAAGTTTTAAGACGCTGCATGGTTGACCTACTTTAAATCGCTCTGGATGTTGTCCGTACGGATTTCTTTCATGAGCGTTTCTGTGAGTTTGCTGTCGCCGTCGGTGCTCATTCCTCGAAACCAGGCGGGGACGGGTTCCGGAGCGCCGGCAAACTTTCCAATTAAGATCCCCACTATAAAGAACAACACCGAGCAGGCTGCCGCAGTCACCGCGGTCCTCTGCGTCGGGCTGCCCATTTTCACAAGCGCTCGGCCCGGGCTGAAGCCGCAGAACTCTCGGCAGATCTGCAAGACCAATCGAGCAAGCCAGCTGTGTCCCTGATGTCACCGCTCGCTGTGGTGTAACACAAAGTCCAAGAGATATTAGCGGTGTTGTTAAACAGTAATCTAGTGTAGCTTTGCGTCTTCAGATTTTACTCACTTGGCCTTACGTAAAGTTCAAGTAGTTTCAAGTTAAGAAACTTAACTTTGCAAGATCATAATGGGAACCTGTTTCTAGTATAGGCCACTTTCTTAAAAAAAACAACATACAATACATTTTGAAATGACATTTTAAAATAATTGCTGTATATATCATTGTTACCTAAAATACAGAGTGTTTTACTTCATGTTTTGTACTTCTGACGTCAGGATATAAAGGGCTATAATACATGTCGCCAAAGAGACTTGAAGGCAGTGTGCACTATTCAAGAATGAACCGTTCCCCTTAGAGAGACAATTAAATTGTGAAAAATCTGATAATTGAACAAATACTCTGCAGAACTGTAATATAAGGACGCAAGCATACAAGAACCAGTAGGTTTCTAAAATAAATGATTCCTTTGTGTGTGCACAATAGCCTTTTTTTCTTCATCATGGTTTAAATTAATTAGTTTTGCTCCAGTTGTTTCTTGTAAAGTTCAGTCACAGGACAAAAAAAAGAGGCTGAAAAAATGTAATTTGTGTTTTGGTCTGGATATTTTTAGTCTCTTTTTTTTGTGAAGGATCATCAAGCCAAGTCAATATGACCTTTTTGCATTTGGCAGCAATAAGGTTCTTAAGTCAAAAGATTAAATTGCTTAGAAAACAAAATTTTTGGATGTTTAAAATGGCCAAGCTTGAAAAATGAAAAATAAATAGATGGTAGCCACCACTAAAGTATGCCTCAAAGGCACCACAAAGGATTCAAGGTGCATTTTTATTCAATGTTTTAAAGGCTTGTGCCTGAACGGGTCGTGGACTGCAGCTGCACCAGCAGGCTAGTCACCACTAGCAAGTAAACTGAATCTGCTAAGGACATTGCCCTTGTAAAAAAAAAAGTAGCCCAGACGTCTGGAGTGGTTAGCATTCTCTCTCACTGCTGTGGGCACTGCAGGTCAGTTAATCAGTTATCATTTTCTTCCTAAACAGGAAGGCGTCAGAGATCAGTACATAGGTTGCACAGTACAGCACATCTCAGAGACATGAGTAGTGTAGAGATAAAGACGGAGAAGCTGCCTACATCCCTAGTTTCCTTAAGTGGTAACACAAAAACATCTGTCTGGAGAGGCATGAGCATAAGCATTTATACTCCAAATGTGAAAGTGGAGGGTCAGGGCCATACCGAGTGCAGAACTGGTTGCATAAGCAATGCCATGTGTGTCCAGTCGCAATAACGCAAGTGTTTCAGTCACAGTGTAAATACTACTAGGGTTTGAGAGGCAGATCAGTAGATCACTTGTTGCACATTGCCTGTTCAACAGCGCTAATTTGTTTGTTGTTGGCAGCAGTGTAAGCAACACCAGCTCCTGCCAGCCTGCACAAGGCACACAGTCCTCTTTGTCACATCAAAGAATCAGTGAGTGTTCTTTGGCATGTCTTTGATTTTGTTCAAATGCGATCACGGCTGTCACGATCGCAAACCCCTCCTCTTAAGGGCGCTCCAGGCCTTCCTCGTTTTCTCCCATTACCTGTACCTGTTCCCTATTTCCGTCCCCCCCCCTTAAACGCCAGACGCAGACTTTACTCCTCGTTCCTCATTGAATCGCGCTTCGTGAGAACTCGGGGGTCCTGCTGCGTCTGGCTCCATTATGCTTTTAACCTTCGGTTCCTGATTCCCCGCCCCGCCGGTTCTGACTCGGTCCATGGTTTTATTTCCTGGATGGATCCTCTGGCTTTAGACACTACCTTCTGTCTTGGATGACCCGTTTGGATTTACTCATGGATAGTTCGCCCCGGATTCACTCTCCCTGGACACCTGCACCCCTTGGACACGCCCCCTGTCTCCAGAACCTCTCCTGCATGACTTCTTCTCCAGTGTTTCTTCACAAATCCGGATTGTGTCGTCTGCACAGGGCTCGGAAAGAACTGTTCGTTACCACGTCTTCTTCGTTTCATGTTATATATTCCGTAGTAGCAGGAAGACTGCAGTGTGGAGTAACTGGTACTCATTAGGGCTTGGAACACAGAACTGGAAAGTTGTAGAGTTAAAGCACAGGTTGGGCCACTGTTGTTAAACATCATCTCTGGTTTATCAGATTAAGTCATTTTAAAAAGTGGTCACTTAGGGCCTAATTTGGCTATGCTTTTTTTCACTACCAATTAATATTTTACCTGGAAAGGTGTTAACTAAGCTTGGATACAAAGTCAAAACTACAAGGAAAGGTTTACTCTGTGCTGTCCTGCCTGCTTCAGGTGTGAGGGAGAGTATGGTGGTGGGAGTTGGTTCCCACTTCTATTACATTAGAATTGTATAAATGTTTTTTTTTGTTTGTTTATGATACATGAGGATTTCAAAGAGGGTTCATTTTTAATAAAATATCTGTTCTAATGCAAACCACTGGTGGGATCTGAATACACTTGTCAGTTGAGTGAATTGATCCAAGGCCACAGTATTGACTTCAACACAATGGCTAGGCAGCTTGTTCAATGGTCTTACAACATTTTGCATGAAGAGACGCCTCCTGCCCTCAGCTCCATAGAGGGTGTCCTCTGGTTAATGCTTCACTATTAAATCTGAAAAAACCCAGAGTGCTGACTTTGCCAGGGCCTCTGAGAATTTTGAACACTTACTGTACATCTGGTCCCCTAGCAATCTTCTCTATTAAGGACTTGAAAGACTCAGTACCTTCAGCCCATTAGTGCAGACTATCTGGCTCCTGTCCACTGGAGTGATTCCAGAACAGCAATATCGTTTTTTAGAACGTGGTAACCAGAATTGTATACAGTATTCTATATTATTCCTGCAAGGCTACACTTTTTTTCACTTGGACTGACTGAAGATCTACAGTATATGGCTTTCCAGTTCCTCTGTTTTGCCTGGGGTCTGTGCTATCATTGTGAACCTTGAATCAATAGAGATGAATGGAAACAAAGACTAGTGATCAGAAATGTAGCTTAGAGCTCTTGGCAAATTATGTTTATAAAATAAGTTTGTTTTTTCTCTAGATGATGCAACTATGATTGACATAAAGCAAATTACAATTTTCCTAATGCCCAAAACTGTATGCACTACACCCTGCAGATAAAACTACCATAAGCAACAAAAAGCTAAAATTTCTCCTGCCACCCAGTGCTGTGTCAAAAACATACAGAGAATGAAGTATTTAGGGATGGATGTATAAATGTACATATTCATACTGCATGTGTGAGAGTGTACGTGATAGATTTCGCAACCTTTCCTGCGCAGTATAATTCCTTTAAATTTCATCATAGGGGCTACAATCAGGTGGCATAGTGAGAAATCAATGGAGCAGTCTAGCATCTGTCTCTGAAGCCCCCCAGTCGTCAGATTTCTAACGTTCCTCAAACTAAAAGCTCTGAGTGTAAAATAATCAAAACTACTGATAAAAGCTCTTGGAAATTCAACTTCTTCAATAATCAATAATCAGGATAAAAATGTGGTAATGACATGAGCATCCGATGTGGTCCCGAGTAGGATTAGGGTTATGAGAACCGTTAAATGCTGACTGGAGTTGTACCTCTAGTTGTTATTTAAATGACACGAATAAGAGTGTTTACCCATTAGAAAAAAAAGGTTTTCTTAAAACTTTTCATCTGACTCAATTTTGGGGTACAACTACTGAAAGGTGCAATATTCAATGTGGGCAGCCAAAGGTCTCCGAAAAATAAAAGTGAAGATAGGAGACCATTCTCCTCATAAAAGACTCATCCTAAAGATAAATTGGGCCCCAAAATCCAGAACTGAGCATTAAAAATCCCTAAGTAGTGTGGGAATGTTAACTCTAATCCTAGCTGGGGTTTTAATGGAGCACTCCCACATCTGTCTCTGAAGCCCTCCAGCCTTTAGATTTCAAATGTTCTTCAAACCAAAAAAGAACCAGTTACAAGAACCATTACATTTTGACTGCAGTTGTGCTTTTAGTTGCTATTCAAATGACAAAATTGAGCTTCAGTGTTTCCACAACCACAGCAGAACCAAGCATCCATTTGTCTTTCCTAAAACCGCTAGTGATGTCTTCATACAAAATCTTCATATCTTCTAGTGATTTTGCAGGGTTTCATAAAGATAAAATATGCAAACAAATTTTCAATGGAAAGGTTGCAGGAGTACAGTAACAATTATTTTTTGTGTGACGTAATTAAGCATTATGTAACAATATGAAATGATGTCACTGTGTGTGTACTCTGGTTAAGCAATCGCTCTTTCAGTTATCTTTGGAGCCTGTTTTTCCAGTGCAGCTGGGATGTAGGGAAACTGACTAACAAGACAGCTGTGAGAAAGCATTGTGAGAATTTGGCACTGAGCTTTGAAACTCCATTAGCCTATAAGACTCGGATCAGGCATATTACCAGGTTTCAACTGCCAGACTTTGAGCCAGAGTGCAGAAAATGAGTTATGGTTGCAGTATTTTATGGAAAACTATTCTATTTATAGCTCTATTTTGAGAAGACAGTGTGGATTTCTAAGTTTGAGATGACTCCTGCTTGTGACATGTATAGAAAGCAAAATTATATGTCTTGAGGTCCAAAGATAATGTTAATAATAATAATGTTCTTAACTGGCACAGTCCTACTGTTGAGAAGACTGGAGGTACTCCATTTTAGCAGTCTATTAAGACATTGCTTGTAGATCTGGCTGTTCATATCAACAACAGAGAAACCTGACAAATGTCACTTGAGCCACATTATGCATTATGTTATCTTTATATTCTATGATAACCACTGCTCCCTTTAACTGTAATTTACAAAAAGAAAGCACCTTTGATTTAAAAAACTAGGAGACCCCAACCTCCAAAAGCAACTTGGAAAATGTATAATAACATTGGGAAATACTCTATACAGAGTGAAGTCTATTACAGAGTATTTGGTCACTAGTGAACAGAAATGATTTCTGGTGGCAAGTGGACCAGGTAATACATGTA